TATATTTTATCCAATTTTCAAGGTCGGACGTGCGTGAAGCGTGATGTGACAATTTGGTAATTATTTAAGATAATTTAAAAAAAGAAAATGTAATGTGTTAAAAATTACTTCAAATACGCTAAAGAAGCATCTGGTGGTGTTTGAGTTTGAGTTTCGCTTAGCAAGTAAAAACTAAAAAACTTTGGTTTATCACTCGATTTCGTTTTAATATTCCCCACATCATTGATTATATCCCAATATAATTTATATTTAAGTTTGTACATTTTAAAGAAATCTAACCTTAAAATTGAATATTTTTATATTTGAGTCCCCTAAAAAAACGCCGACAACTGCATTTTAAAAGACAAAATATATCTACGAATTCATAGCAACATAATATATGTAATACATAATATAATACCGGTTCTTGGTATTTTACTATTAAGTGGACACTTTCTTAATGAAAGCATTTAATAATACTAAATGCTGTTTAAATTTAGACGACTTATTTGTTTTATGATTTTACTGAATTGAAATGTTAACAATTTTTTGAATTTATTGTATTTAAAAGGTACAATTTATATTTCCAGGTACAATTTATTTCTTCATTCGAATTTTCATTGTTTATTGGGAAACCAGTCAAAACTCAACCCAGGATTTCCCCTCGAAAAAAAACTTTTATAAATAATGCATTTTTCTCGAAAAATCTTGTAAAGTCGATGCGGGGACATACAGTATATTGCTTTTATAAAATCTAAAATTAAAAATGGTTTACGACAAACACAAAATGCAATATTTATCAAAAATAAATAAAATCTTACATCTGTCAGATTGTTCCAAACTCACTTTATTTCGACGATTGCGTGGAATTTGAAAACTGCAACTAACTTCAGCCCGTGACTAAAACGCCATAAAGCCACAACTTCTCAATGTGTATTTAAAATAACCCTTAGTGGTATGAAAACATGTGTGATGGGCGTTTTAAAGGTGGAAGTGGAAAAATATTTTAATCCATTTAACTGTATTTTTACAACACGACAAGGTTCTTGACTCAAAACAAGCTGTAAACAAGTCATCTCTTCGAAAGAATTCAGTTTTACCGTTAGGTTTATATGCCTTCTGTTTTACCTATTAATGTTGATGTCCTACTGTAAAATGCTTTTACTTTTTTCGTTACTCTCTTAGCGTTCTTTTGCCTTTTATTTACATAAATAAACGCTTAAGGTTTTTTGAACTTAGATAATACAAAAGTTAAGATGATTTATATGAGTCTTAGTTAAGATTGTTAAGAATTAAAACAATTGTGCCGATGACGGTTAAAAATAAAAGTATGCGACAAGCATTTTCACTTGTTGTTAGATTAGATTACAACATGTCTAGTCAGAAAAATATTTATTTCCTGGCTAATTGCGTAAACAAACTGCACAATTTCCGTATTACATACCTATATGTAAGTACCTATGTTTATAGGTTATATTTTTATATATTAAAACTTTCATGTAATGTTTAAGTTTAATATAATTGTAATGGTTTGGAAATTTAGAGCTCTATAACTATTTTGAAAACGTTATATATTTAAAAAACGAGCAATTCTCTATAAGCCTGGACCTAAAAAAGATTTCTCAAAAAACCTTTTCTAGCATATGTGTGGAAAATCAGTATGAACACAAAATAATTCTAACAAAAGTATAATAAACTAAAAAACCATAATTAAACAACAATGTTCAACAATAATCAAAGCATTTTAATTTTTAGCTTTTTAAACATTCTATTCTCAAATTTCCTTCGAACATTTTAAAATGTTTGTCGTGGAATAGCTCTGCTTTCTTCAACTATTTGTTGTCGCTAAGATCTGCGAGGCTGAGTTTTGTAGAGAACAGATTTTAGGTGACCTTATAAGAAAAAGTGTAATGGCGTCAGATCTGGAGGTCTTGGAGGCCACTCTATTGGTTCTCTTCTATTAATCCACTGTTCTGGATAATTCTGATCCAGCCAAGCCTCACAGGTACTACATAATGAGGTGGTGCCCCATCTTGTTGAAAATGTAATAAATTTTTATTCAAAGCTAGTTCATCATCCTCACCTCTTTGATTTTTATTGTTCTATCTAACATTTCAAAATAAATTTGACCATTCAAATTTTGGTCAATAATACAATATAATCAAATTCCTGCCCAGACATTAAGTTTTTCAGGATAATAAGGACAAATTGTTTATTAACATTTCTATAACATTTCTATTTAGATCAAAAGTACACTCATCGCTATAGCAACGTTTTAAAAAAAAATTTGATATCTTTTTTGGGTTCAGGCTTATAGAGCATTCCTTGTTTTTAAATAGACACCCTTTATTAATTAACAGATATTTACCACAAAAAACTGTTTCTTGAGGATTAATTTCAAGTATAAAGAAATATGAATCATGAACATAAAGATGATGAATGAAACCCTTGTTTTATTTAAAAAAACCATTAAATATTAAACCCATATCATCTTTGATTTAAAGCAAAAGTAAATCATGTGTGTATACAATTTCTAACTACTACGTAATTTGCGATGGAATAATTTTTTTTTAACTTTTTGGACAGAATGTTTGTGTGCAAATTTTTTTAATCAAATTTATTATGTAAAAAAGTAATTTAATGATATTAAAATTTCATTAATAATTAAAATCATAAACCATACGTATACCTACATGATTTTTAACAAAGCATAAAAAAAATATTTCTTAACTACATCCGATTGTGTATTTTATGGAAAGTGTACATTTTGTAATTTTGTAATACAATAATATAATATTTTATCTTCAAGAAGTCTATAAATTAAACTTTACTGTCGTCAACAATCGACACTAAAGTGATTATGGCATAGTTACACAATAAATCATTCTAGTAATTATTTAAACCCATCATAAAATTATAACCTCACTTTACACTAATAATTGTTTAATTTATATTTTATGTATCGTTTAACAAATTAAACTGGATTTAAATTCTGAAAACCATTACAACTTAAAGATAAAATTTTGTATGCCATTCGGCCCAAAAGGTCTTTTTGTACTTTGCTTGATTGTACGCTCACCACAAAGACTACCAAGCAAACACATAGGTCTGATTATGTAATGGCCTATTACTTAGTTCCATGGCCCAATAGTGGCATTTTTAGACAAAGCTTTCATTGTAAAAAGGCTGTCGTGATAAGGTCTTTTAGGCTAATATTTGTATATTTTACCATAAAAGACCCATATATTGCAATTTTTAGTATCAAGTTAATAAGACTTTAAAAAACCATTAAAATGCCAAATGTTTTCTGTATATAAAACTTACTTGAACCTTTAATTATAGTTGTAATAGTGTGATATATATATACATAAAAAATATTTATTATACCTAATGGTTGTTAAATTTAAATGAGTAAGTAGGTGCATTTTTAATTTTACAAATTTTAGAACTCTTATTACAGACAAAATACCGTCAAAGAATTTAGTACAAAGGTTTAATTGATAAGGTCAAAATTGGGGCAATTGCGAATAAAAGAAATTAATAATGGCAAAGAAAACCCGGTTTTCTTTGTTATAGAGGACAATCTAACAAAAAAATCAAGTGAAATTTATGAATAATAAAATTACATTTCACGATAATAGAAGTATTAATTAATGTAATGGATAAGTAAAGTATTTATTATGGTAGATTAAATGTGGTTTGTTTATATTTATTGGGTCGGATATTCCACGATAATCGGGAATTTTTATCCCGACCGTCAGAAATTTCAGATTATCCTGGAATATCCTTATCTAGTAAATACAGTGTGTCCACGGGTGGACTTAACTATACTTGTAAAAATATTTATTTTCAATTTTTCGAGGAAAAGTCATTTTTCATAATTTCTTTTGCTTGTTTATAAATTCAATTCAATTTAATTAGCGTTGAGAAACATCCATTTTGTTGTACAGGGTGAGCAAAAATACTTTAAACATTTTGAGAGATGGTAAAGAGATATCAAAAAGTCAAATGAAGTTTTTTCATATGAGTTTTTGATACTAAGATATTTGATATTGAAAATTTAAGATATAAGTTTTCAAATAATTGTAGACATTGTAGACATGCCAGTTGAAAGCAACAACCTTTAGTCATAATCACAAAATGAGATAGCAGTCAATTTCTACAAAATATTAGGAACACTCAAGTTAGGACCTAAATTAATTTTATTTTTATAACAAATTTCTTAGTAACAACAAACTAACATGGAAAAACTTTATTTGCAAAAAGCCATGGCTTTTTGGTTTCTCCAAGCTCTTCATATCAGACCTTCAAAAAATATTTAATAATTTTTAATTTTGCAAAATCTACAATTGTATTTTTGTGCGCACCCTGTAGAACAAACTAGAAGTTTCCCATCGTGAATGGTATATGTATAACAAGCAGAAGAAATTATGAGGAGTGACTTTTCTTCGAAAAATTGAAAATAAATATAATAAATAAGTATAGTTAAGTCAATTCGTGGACACACTGTATATACCTACCACATGTAATCCATCATATCGATTAAAAATTATTAAAATAACCACTATAGAATCTTCATCGCCCCATATCAGAAACTTTAGCTTGCAACATTACTACCTTTAATTTGCCATATCAGAACCTTTAGCGCGCCATCAAAAAATGAATGGTTCTTGTAAATGCCATTATTGACTGCAGTTACATGCCCAATAAAGGTGAACCCGACAAAATATTTACAGTTCCATTAGAGTTAGCCTTTATAGGGCCTTTAGTTCATTAAAGGAACATTAATAAAGGGCCGTTATAGAACCTTTACGGTTGTGTTTGTTGGGTAACTTCCTGGCCTAATGATATAAAGAACTTTTATGTATTAAAACTTTTGATGGAAAATTTATATTAAGCTTTAATTAAGAAATTTAAATGGCATATTTTTGTTTTATTTATAAAAATTTTCATATATATTATTGATTTGTAATTTTTGCAGAACAAATTATACATTATACACTGCTACCCCATAAACCTACCTCTTTCTCGTGAGTCACCGTCCTGCTGTATATCCTGCAAGTTATTGTCACCCTGCAACCAGTCGGTCTCCTCGGCGTTATTTTGCACGGGGTCCCTAAAAGCCACTAGATCCGTCGGGAAAATAACCCGCGGTCGACGCGAACTGGTCCAGCCCGCTTGATAGCGAGCCGGATCGAAAAATTGTTCCCTCCCGGTGGGAAAGTTGTCCGGAAAAGTCTGATAGCCGCGGAATCTGCGCGGGACTTTGTACCCCGGGATTTCGTTCGGAGGTAGGGTCAATCTGGGGGGTCGCGAGTACGACGAACGAGGGTCGTCACCGGAGGCTGTGGGGTCTAGCCGAAAGTTGGCATCTCCACCGGACGGGGAAGATGGTTCATATTCGAGTCTAAATCTTTCGCCAGGGAAATTAACAGGTTGCCTAAGTCTGGAGTAATCTGGGGGTTCTCCGAATGGACCGACAGGTTTGAAACCCTCTTCGTAATCGTATGATTTTCTCTGCCTGTAGTTGGGCAATCTGAACCTCACCAAGGGTTGTTGGTATAACTGCCTTCTAGCAAATCTGGTGGTTTCTTTTTTGTAGTCTGGCGGTAGAATTTCGCCAATGTGTTCGTTTTCGTTACTCTCCAAACTGTCATCATCTCTTCGTATCTTTTGGTCAACGTATTGTTCATTTTGTTGGTATTTCTGACCACCATGTATCAACATATCGAGGTCTTCCTTTGATAACACTTTAAACTCTTCCACATAATCCTCCTTGGATATCCGAGGTGAATCAGTGGAGTTTCCACTTACGTAAGGTTGCTCATGTAACTCTTTTTCGTACAATTTTAACAGTGGTCTTACAAAATCGGTTTCCAAACGTTTCTCGTGCTGGGATTTATCCTTTTTATTTAGGAACCTATTGATAACCTCGTCCTTCCGCACACTCTCCTTTGTCACAGGCACTACATCTTTGAATTGTTTCGTCTCGTTGTGTATTTTAATTAGGTAATTGTAAAAGTGCTCCAACTCAACGTTCGAGTTACCTAATTCATTGCGACTAGATTCGTTATTCGTATTGTTAAACTGCAAGCTGGGTTGATCATCTATTTTGATCAATAAAGGAGTCGAGTCGGTTTGTCGCGAACCTGAAAATGGCAGATATTTGGCGGTGGTGAATTCCAAAAAGGTGCCCGTATTCCTTTCGAACGGCGGATCAGCGGCCTGTATAAGAAAAATGCCCAAAACTAGCGCCAAGACTCCCGAGTGTATTTTGTTCATACTGTCGGCAGTATTCCATTTAACTTCAACAATTCCGGGTTGATGTGTTCTTACAAACTAATATCACAAGCTATATACAAAAATTGAATGCTCCTCGATCGGTTCACATCGGTGTCATCTTGGTTGGCCGTGGTCGGTAGCAGCTCTTCTGTTTTCTATACGCGGTCGGCGTGCAGTCGAACGAAACGAAAAACAATACACGATCATACAATATACCGAGGTACACTCCCGCTGGGTCTCAAGAGCCGACTGAGAGATCTTGGACGGCCATGGTAGAGAGTTTAACTTTCACACACTTACCACTTTCACTTACAACGTCTTCCAAAATAACCAACGCATGCAAACGTATGAACGACAGCGGCATAAAGCGCATGTTATTTTAGTAGAACTACCGAAATTAGCATGTACGGGATTTTCCGTGTGTACATTACAGATCAAAATGAAAAAATGGGCATTTTCAATATTTTTTTCGGTTAATTAACACAACCATTCTTCAGTTTTGAATCTTTGTTAAATGAAGTCCAGAGCTGTATCGTCATCTGTGTTCTGTGGAGAATGTCATGATCTGATTGGTTAATCACCCTCTAAATTCTATAGAAAATATAGATTAAGCATTAAGTGACCTTTTAAATGGTTTCTTGACGCCAATATTTGAAAAGATTATATGAACGTTTGTTAAAATTTTGGGTACAGTGCCCATAAAACATTCTCTTTTCTTTAACTGTGAAAAACCGCTTCTTTATCGATTGTTAGTCTATTTTCAAGGGATAAATTTTGATTTACACAAAAAAATTGAGATTTTAACGTTCAATCGGGTTTTAAATTGGGAGGCGACTATAATAATATTTAAAATTGGTAAAAAGTTAGGTTAACCATTTGACAGATGTCAGATTTTATTTAATTATTTTTGAAAATCATTTAATTACACAGTTCATCACGATTTTCCTCCCATGAAAATTTTTAAAAATAAAGGTTAAAAAACGTACCCGTTTCACGAAACACGTCATTTAAATTTTTTACACAGCCATTTTCATTATTTTAACATAACAGATTTTTAATTCCCTATTCTGCTATAAATCATTTTTTTTTTCTTCAAATATAAATTATACTTAAACAAAATAACAATTTTAATTTTTTTTAAGTAAAAAAAATATTTCTGGTTTTAATTTTTTATTGTTTTTAATAAAACATCAGATTTGTATTTATCTTATATTTTTCCAAAGATAAAGAAAAAATAAGCATTAGAAGTTTTTTATATTTTTTGTGATACGCCACTGGTTACACACTTGGTTTATCTCTGCACACTTGTGTTCTGTGAGTACATAAATACCAATCAACAAAGTAGCTGCGCGTTGCCAGATGTAAAAAATTGTTACTAAAAATTTTTCCTGCAAAAAATAAATAAAAACTCAATAAATACAACAGTTTTATGCCCTTAAAGCTCTAATACTCTTCTGTATTTATTTACTCATCCAGCTATTAGCTTTAGCAATGATTAGAAAATTTAGTACCTATTTTAAAAAATCCATAACCACAAAATTAATTTTTTCATAGTTTTTTTCTTTCTGTTTACTCAGATGAAATTGGGACCAGTTCACAGGTTAAAACATTTAATTTGTGTAAATAAATCCAAAAGCACTTCCCTTAGTTAAGATATTTACAATTTGAGCACATAACCTAAAATTTGAAAGAAATGCACTAGATTCTGTTATAAAAGTTGGCAGATTTTGTTTGAATTTGGTAGTACAAAAATGACATAACCAATAATTAATAAAAACGCCAAATTGACAATTTGCATTGTTAATTTTGTCATTTTTGTAATTAAGCTAAATTTAAACAATGTTTGTCAACTTTTTTGACAGAATTAGGAAACGCTGTTGTTACCAACCATAACATAATAAATTAAATTAGGCAACCAGATTAGCCTAAAGTTCCTAGTCGATCAGAAGCGTACCTTTTGGTAGGGCGGACTCGGCGCTTTGCCCTTAAAGTGGGACATATCTTTTATAATAAAAAATTTGGTAACGTATTTTAATTACCTATTTATTAAGCACAAATAAATCACAGTAATATTTATTTTGATATTTTATTTAATTTTTTTTTTTTTTAATTGACCAAAAACAATTTGACCGGTCAATTCCACAACCCTAGGTATAGAACATGGTACAGTAATTTTACTCACAATTTTATATAGAATTTAAAAATGTAAAAATATATGGGGTGTTATATATAAAATAACAAAGATGATGTCACTTCCGGTCAAACTGGAAGTGGAATTTTGTTTAAAATATTTTAGAAAAAATAGGATTAATTGAATAATAAACGCTTTAAAAATTTAAAATCGATATCTTTTGCCGTTCCTTAGAAACTTTTAATGGAACACGAACGTAAAACAAAAGTATTTCGTAAATGTGCAACACCCTGTATATAATTAAAATATTTTTATCAAGTGAATAAATTTTTGTTAAAAATAGTCTAGCTGTTATCGAAGCTGTTATATTATGTGCCGAATACCGTGCATAACATTTTATTGAAACGTACTTAAAAAAAATAAATGACATGTTATTTACTTATTGGAGTAGATAATGTATAGTATTACACTCGAGATTATGTGCATTATTTACTCGGATGATGTAAGTCTCTCGTCTAGCGACTCGAGATGCAAACCGCATCCTTGAATAATATCCTGCATTATCTTTGGTAAAATAATATTCTATTATATTTCCTTATATATTTTTTATTTCATTTCTTTACACTCTGTATATGCACAACGTGGAAATATTTACTTTGTACTTTATAATTTCATGAGTTTAATAGTTCAAGTTTAAATTAAATTGAATAAATTACATTAAATTTAGAAATTGCAAGCTTTATATAACACCAATTATTTTATTAAAAATTAATTAAAATAGTGTTGCACAGAACAATTAAAAAGTGTCACAATTGAAAAACCAAAGAAAATATTAAAATATAGATTATTTTAGAGTAATTAAAATTTGTCATAATTAAAAAATCCTTGCAAATAATTTGACCCACAAATTAACAAAAAAAATTCTGCAGATGCATTGTTAACAAATTATTTTAATACTCTTGAAACATCACTAATGTCAAAGACACATAGTTCATTTGCCATGACCATTGTGTTAAAACCATAAAATTAGCAAAACAAATAAATAGTGGCTTTGTCTCGAAAATTATCGTTAAGTTTTCTACGCGTTATTAGGTTGGATTGCAGAAATAGTATTACAAAAATAAATTTCATATTGCCGTAAGCATGGCGTTAATTAAAATAAAAAACCTTGTTAATCTTTTAAATGCCAATTGCTAATTGATGATGATGAATAATCACTCAATATAAATAACTCTGTTTTAGTTTAAAAATCAGGGTAAATTTTTAACAGTGCTTTTTTGAATGCTTCTATTAAACCGGCAACTAAATGGTTGAAAATGTTGGAAAATGTCCGTTTAGTTTAGTTTTTAGTTTTACTAGTAAAATATCACCGTTATAAGTAAAAAAACTACACAATTTATTACAACTCAGTCTTTAAATTAAACTCGTACAGTTTTTGAATATACATTTTTACTAATACAAAAATGTACAAAGATTTCAATAAAGCGGTTCAGACAGTAAATTACGAAAAATCTTTAATATAAGCACTACTTTTTTTTTATTTGTCTCAAAAACTAAATTTTAAAAAATAATAAGATAACATTTCCGTAAGTGTTAAACTAACAACCTCATTTTCTCAGAGTAAACAAACCATAAACAACTTAACCAAATTGAAAAAGCCGTAAGAGTAAATAAACCAAATCGAGCAAGATGACAAAAAATTTAGATCATAAATAAGTGTTGTGTGTGAATAGGTAATAATTTATATGCATTTAAGATACCAGCCATAAATCAAAGCCAAATAAACATAAGCTCAAAAAATACAAGAACATCACAGAAGATAAGAAGAACGACCCTCTCAATAGCCAATGCAGGCCATATGGCCGCATTCCAATTACGTACACTACAGGGCCGGCTTTATCTATTTTGTATATTAATATTTATTTTTTAAATTAAATTTGGAAAAAAAGTAAGAATGCAAAGATTTAAATTAAATGGAAACGGTATAAACACTAATTTAACAATAAATAAATAAAGAATATACAAGGCAGAGGGCACTTACGGTGTGTCATGACTGTCAACACTTCGGTACGAAAGACAAGACTATGTTCAGAAATACACCAACAAGGACAGGTTCTAGCAGCGTACTAACACTTCTACCCCCATTCATGAATCCCAATTGAATGCACACCAAAAACGAAAGACACCTGAGCTTATATACTGTCCACCTAACTCAACCGAGGCGAGATGTAAGAACATCACGTGATTGCCGCAATCGGTACACACTATGCATTTTACATAACATTATAGCAAATCAAATTACAAACCACGTTTGTAAATCTGAGATGCTTTTTATTAGAAACTGTCAAACTGTTTAGTAAAATTACAATGCGTGTAGGATTTATACATATAGATTGTAAAATTACAACTTCCCAACATGTCTTGGAATTTTGTATTGGTATACACTGATTTGTAATTTAACTCATCCTTTGTTTTGCAAAAAAATTGTAATTTTACAAAAAATTTTAACAGTGTACATGATTAAAATGCTATATAGTAAAAAAAGCAAATACAAGTTGTATAAAATAAATAATGATTTGTATATTTCCAAACACTTATTGTTATTCAAATAGAAAATTTTGGTTAGTAATTTTATTGATTATCTTAGTAAAATTAAATTCCGAATATGTATAGAAATTTTACAAAATTTCAAATTCAATTCTACAATACAGAATTGTAAAATTACTATAAGTATCTGACAAAAACATTGTAGAATTGGAACCTGTTTAGTACTTTGGCTATAACAAAATGTAATATTACAACAAAGTTTTAGTAATTTTACAAACATTTTTAACAGTGCATCAACAATTTTCCTTTGTTAAAATAATTACAAACCCTGGTTTTCTACAAAAAATTATGTAAATAAAATTTTACAAAATAAAATTAACAAACTACAAACTCATGTTAAGAAATCTGATTTTTATAATAGTGTATATCGATGGTTATTTGACAAAACATCGTAAGCGACAAAACCTAAATTTTACAGGAGAGATTTTTTTGTGTGGGAACTTTATTTTTAAAGTTATTTATCTGAAAACTGGTGAGGCATTATTTTATTAATGTAGAATTCAAATATTTAAGTTAGATCGAATCCAATCTAAAATTTTCATTAAATTTTGTGGCATACGATATTTTATAAGAACATCTTTAGGAAAATTTAAAAATAGTCTTGTCGCTTAAGTTACATTTACGTTACTTTGTGGGATATAGATTTGATGATTACTTTTGTCAAAACATTGTTAGCGACATTTATTTTTTTACTTTTATTATTAAATAAAAAATAATTACAAAAAAAATAATTTATATCACCAACGATATTTTGCCAAACAATGAAAATCTATATTAGCTTTCTTTGAAAAAAACGAACGATTTTTATTCACAAACCAGTATCTAACCCATGGAGCTACACAAGGAGCCCGAACTTAATATCTGTGCAAACCAACCTTTAGGGACATTTTTGACAAGATGATAAGCAGTTTAAAAAAGTTGCCAGAGAATCTAACCTTAAAACAACATAATTAACAATGAAATACGTCAAACTGACAACTTTCAGTAAGTAAGGTTAGTGGTTACTAAAGGCAGTTTTACATTTTGAAATCAACTGAATGACAGGTCGTTCGAAATTTTTTGGCCGTCATCTAACCATAGATAATAAATCATCTAACCGTTATAAATTTGAGTTAAATTATTTGACGTTATAACAACATACAATTACTACAAAAAACACTTTTAACGAACCACACTACGTAAAAACAATTATAATTAGGATAACTATTAATAATGCAATGATAAAAAGAAATTATAAGCTTTTGATCAAATAAAATATTGTTATAAAACTTGGTAGCAATCACAATCCACATTGTGGATTGTGGTAGCAATCATCACGATGCAGGTATACTCACGAATAAACTGTTTAGAGCGGGTATAACGCCTTGATAGATCAAGGCGGGAGCACAATATTATCGTAAGCGACACAATGTTAAATCGCAAACGCCATCCCACTAAGCAAAATACTGTTGGGCGAACGTTGCAGCGATGTTAACAGTAACGCTGTAACGTTAACTGGGGGGTAACATTAACGTCACTTAAACATTACAACAACGGTTAATGTCCGCCTCATGAACGTTTAAATGTTACATTGCAACGTCAACGTTGAAACAACGTTAAACCGTGCCGTACAGGTGCTATTAACTGATGCGTTGGCGTAACGTTAAAGTTAAACGTTAATTTACTGTTTTTAAATGAACGTTAATAAAACGTTGAAATTAATTGTTTTATTAACGCAGCTCTAAATGCCAATTCTTGGCGGGAAAGACAAACAAAGATATAGATTTAAAAAGAACTTGTTATATTTACTTCTTTCGACATTATTTGTAAAAAACTTCTTTTATAATTTTTTCAAAACCCGTTGATGGCCTTGACGAAACCACTCCATAGCAGATTCTTCCGGATAGCTAGTTTCAACACCACCTGCAAAAAAAAAAATTTAGCTTAAGCTGACAAAAACAATAATTTTAGATTTGTTTATTTCTGTTAACTTAAATATTTCTGAATTAATACTTTAACAAAGCTATTGAGGCAAAAGGCGCCACGAGGTATACCTAACAGAAATAAACAAATCTAAATTAAAATTAAAAATGTCAATATGTCCGGTATATACCTCGTATATATACAAATATACAAGTTGTATTATACAACTGAACAGCTGCCACCTGTCGCCCTCGACATCAGCGATTTTGACCAAACATTCCAAGTTTGGTCAAAATCGCTGATGTCGAGGGCGAAAGGTGGCAGCTGCCACCAACCTAGGTTTGGCGCATTTACATATATTTACGAGGTTGCTCCTGACAAACCTAACCTAGGATAGTAAATCTTTTTGAAAATAGTGCCTTTTTAGTCCAATAAAATTGTCCTGGATTTTCACTGTCAGGCGTTCGTAACCATTGACAGAAGTATAGATGCGTTTAATCGCAATCTTAATTTTGATAATAAACGTCGGACGCAGTGAAATAAAAATAATGCCAATATTGGTATAAAAACACCAACACGCCTGCATTAAGTTACATTACATTAAATGCTGGCTAGTAGCCAGTGGCTACATCCACCTTATTAAACAATTCAATTAAATTTAACTAAGTATAATATATATTAGCTTAAATATAATATATATTAGCTTAAATATATTAATATATATTAGCTTATATTATATATAGGTACACACCTGCTGTTGAATGACTTTGTTGTTGTTGCACTTGTTTTTGTCCTTGTCCTTGCCCATGCCTTTGTTGCTTTTGGATAAAAAATGTATGTTAATTTTGGCTTAAACTAACTCCTTCCTGGTAACGATAATAAGCTGAGATCTAAAACTAAACATAGCAATTTCAGACTTGATGCAAGTTAAAACAAATTAAGTAAAGGTGCTTTGCATAGTAGGTAGGTACCACTGATAAGAAAATATTACCCAAAATAATAAGGTTAAACAGGTACCTATTTAATTGTTTTAAACTATTTTTTTATGAAAAAGTACCTAAACCCGTTAAAAATAAAGAATGAAATATTTAAAATCGCTGGAATATAAATTTTTGTAAATATAGGTATATGACTATAAATATCAAATTATAATTTGCAATCTCAATTAATTTGCTTTAACATAAATTGTAGTGTTAATAATTATCTTTGAATGAACCTTATAAATAAAGAATATAAAGATATATAATATAAAGATAATTATTAACACTACAAGTTATGTTAAAGCAAATTAATTGAGATTGAGACGCCATCGCCATTTTGTTACTGTACGAGCCGGCAAACCACAGAGGCAAAGTGTTTACAATAGTTTTTAATATATACATATTTAGGCACTTACCTACCAAAATTTCCACATCTAGATTTGAAACGTAAAAACCAATAACACTGATTGAACTTCCCATTAATTATTTTAGTAAAAATTGCACTGCATCTATTATGCACGCTGACGATAGACTGCGCTTTGAGGTTATGTTCTGTCACAGAAATTCTGTGTTGTTATCTTAACGTAGTCATATGAAACGTTCACGTACTTATAACATTTAACGTTGCCTTAATGGCACAAGATTTAACGTTGTAATTAATTCGTTCTCCTAACGCAGCAATGGATAACATTGCTGTACCACTACACTATTAACAGTTACTCAACGTTTCCGAAAAAACGTTATATTATCAACGTTGACACAACACACTGGCAATGTGTTCGAAAACACCATTAATTTACTGAATTGTATGAACGTCAGTATAACAATACAAAGTAACGTTCATTTTGATACTCTCTGCTAACGTTGACCAACGTTATTTAAACGTTTCTTGCTTAGTGGGATGTCTCGGAGTTGCTTACGATTATTTGTCAGGAACATATAGGCGCTTACGTTATAAATCGGTAACAAATTAAAAAGAAGAGGCGCTTTCAATAATAAAAATATTCAAAATGACCAATATTAGATTCCAAAATTGGAATAACTATTATGTTAACATGTGCAGCTTATCGTAACTGACACTCCTAGTGGTCTAGGCTGACACTTTGATAAAATAAAAAGTAATTCAACAAAATTGTCGCTTACGATGTTTTGTCAAATAACCATCGATATAGTGTAGTTTTGACAGTTTAGTTTTGATGGTAATGTCAATGTTCAAATAAAAAAGAGACATTTAAACATCATAATGGAAGTGGGCCCCATGAATGAAATCCTTAAACCTTTGTGTTGGCTGATTGGACATTGGAAATCAATAAAAGCAGTGGGTTTTTACCCGACAATCAAATCGTTTAGATATGTTGAACAAATGTCTTTTCTCTCGGTGGGCCAACCAATCCTAAACTACCAATCGGTCACGTGGAATGCAGACGGAAAAGCACCGATGCACTTGGAATCAGGGCACATGCGATTTGATGAGGGGACTAACAAAGTAAGTCTGTTGACAGCGCAGAATTTTGGTGTAGCGACTGTGGAAGAAGGACTTATTTGCGATGAACAATCTCTGTTGCTTGAAAGTGTCATGATTGGCAGGATGTCTTTCGCGAAAAAGCCTTTTGTGACGAAAATTTCCAGATGCTACACTTTGGATGAGAATGGTAGGCTGAATTTGGTTATGAAAATGGAGACTGATAAAACTCCAATGCAGGAACATTTGAATGTGATGTATACAAAAACTGAGAAATAATTGTAATTTTGTAATAATAATATTAATTAATTTTAAAATGTATACATATTGTTAGTGAAAAGTATATATCAGAATATATTGTTTATATTATTTAAAGAATAATATATTTTTCTATATATGGGTGATTCTACAAAAGTTGGGCAACTTTTGACCAAATTTTGTTTATAGTTTTCGGAGAAAATTAAACAGTATTTTTTAATAAGAACATAGATAATATAATAAATATACTGTTCCAGACCGGGCCAGTCACTTTTTCAAAAAGTTTCTGAAACATCTGTGTTTTCTAAATTTGAATTTAATACATAATTTATTAGAAAATATAATATTTATTGCAACTTTGACCATATTATACATTAAATATATTAAAATCAAATAATACCACACATCAGTGGCGGCTGGTGGATTTTGGGTATACCGATATCTCAATTATTAGATATGGGACCCACACCAAATTTATGAGTTTATAATGACATTAAATAAACAAGTTTTGCGCAAGCAGAATTTAAATTGAAGTTTGCGAAAAAAAGATAACCGAAACATCGAACATGGAACTGACGACTGATGAATGGGATACAAATTTGAGATTATAATTGGGAATTAAGTATTTTACTGATATTTTTTATTAGTGGATGCTACTTATCAACAAAGCACATATAGGCTTATATAAATTACAATGAAATATATATACGTAAAAAAATCACCACAGTACTGAAATTTTGACTGGCACTATACGTGCATTCACCACAACTTCGCCGCTTGCATTGTTTTCAAGATGACTGTCGTGCAAAGAGCGGGCTCTGTAGGTAATTTTTTACCAACACTTGAGTTAAAACGAGGACTTGACGTTTAAACTTCATAGGAATTTTGAATTTTAACATTAGACACAGAACTGACGGGTAAAAGTGAGTACAAAGATTATCAATTTTTTAAAAATTGCTATTATTCGAATCTATGATAAAATATAAAAAATACAATATTTAATGTTTTATAGTTTGTAGTGAAATTGAAAAACTTAATATAAATTGAATATATTTTAAAATAAAATCACTCAAATATTTGATTCAGGAGTTGTGACACGCCAAGGTACTGATGTTTTGTATATTTATTATGTTTTTTTACAAATGTGCTTTTAAAAAAATACATTAAAATTGGGTGGACATGTTGAAAAAACCTGGATCTTTTGTAATATACTAAAATATTTATAATATTAAAATACCTACTCTATTGACTGATGACATCAAGTTGTCCAACTTTTGTAGAATCACCCATATATTGTAGCCAATAGTAATCAGAATTAAGACCAAAAATTGTCGATCTTAAATATTGGTCATCTCTGCATCCAGTTGGAATTCTCCAATATATTCCAAATAAAATATTAATATCAATTCTTATAATCCGTTCTCGTCTAATAAAGGTTTTAAAGCATTTGTAGGATCAACATTTTTTAAGTTTAGTTACATTACAATGCTTACATGGTTTCGATAATGTTTTTCATTAGCTTCATCATACTTTCTTTACCTTTTCTTCTTATTTTATATTTATTTTCTTTAATCGTCTTCTCCTTTCTTTATTTTTTCTTTAACTACCAAGTCACATTTAATTTATCAGGAAATTTTAATATTAATTTTAGAAAACCAGGGTTTTAAAAAAGGAAAATATTTAACCAAAAGTTTTGTAAAGGTAATATACAATTTTTAAAATTGAATTTTATAAGCATTTTGTTCATTTTAAGGGTAACAGATTATTTTGTTGATGTTTAACATTTAACATTTAGTATTGTTTTACAAGAACGGCACTTTATTTTAACGATTGTATGACATTTGACAACTGTCAACTAACTTAAAACCAACTTCAGCCCGTGACTAAAAACCTGTTTTCAACTTCAGCTCGTGACTAAAGCATTATAAAGCCACAACTTGTCAATTTGGGTGGGAGTAGAAAAAATGATTTTTTTTATTACAAAGTTCTAAATTTTATTAAATAAACAATAATAAATTGTATCCAGAAATAAAACTATAGTTAATTGGGCAATTAAAAATACACTTATATAAATAATTAGAATACAATAATTAAATGAACAACAAACAATTAATATACTTATAATGTAACCTACTGGTATATTTTAACGCTTGATAGCTTTATTGGTTATTAAGATAACATATAATAATTATAATAATAATAATGTTCCGTGATTAAATTAGGCTTGATTTTTTAATTATTCAGGAACTGAGAAACAGATTTTGCATGCAGTTTGAATATAGTTTATTGGAACACGTACCTACGCAATTTTAACCACAACAATTCTCGGCACAACGCGAAATCTGAAATACGGAAGACGAATATTAAAGTCGATCGATTGCTAATCATCGTAAATTTGCTACTTCCTACTTCGATCCCGCATTGTGCAGATACCACCTTGATTTTCTCTTGCGAAATAAAAGTGATTTCACTAGTTGTTGCGACAATTATATTCGAACCTCTTATGGGATTATATTGATGAAAGAATTCGACAACAGCTTTAAGGTATTTGCACTGGCGCGCCATGGCGGCTCTTTGGTGTACCATCATAATAATAAAAAAATAACCTAACCCAAATTGCCAAAACATATACACGTTTTAAAAAACTTTCTGGAACAATATATTTATATGGATGGATAAATATATATATATATATATATACGAGGTGTTTTCAGAAAATAACGGGAATTGTTGAATTTCGCGGGTTCGGAGGGTCTGGTTGTTATAAAATTTTCTTTATTATGTTGGTATATATGCCCCTGAAGTATGATAAAAACTTTAGCTGTTTTCATTGTTTACTTTGTCTGTGGCAGCCGCTAAGGTTAGACGTGTTTTATGAGCTCGGCGATTTTTCGTTCGTTAAAAGAAATGGATCAAAGAATTTGTATCCAATTTTGCTTAAAAAATGAAATAAATTCTGTGAAATGTTAACAAAGGCTTATAGTGAGTCTGCTATAAGTAAAACAAGAGTTTACAAGTGGTATAAGAGTTTCCAAAATGGCCGTGAAGACGTTGAAGATGACGAACGCCCCGAACGCACAAGCGCATTAACAACCGATAAAAACATGGAAAAAGTGGAAAAAATGGTTATAAACCATCAGAGAAGTCGCTGATGATGTTGGTACATCGATTGACTCATCCCATGAAATTTTTTCGAATGTTTTGGGTATGAAACGCGTGGCAGCGAAATTTGTTCATAAAATGTTAAATTTTGAACAAAATTTTTGGCCAAAAAGAATACTGTAATGATGCCCCAGCCTCCATATTCGCCAGACATACCTCTGCCTGACTTTTTCCTATTCCCAAAAATAAAGAGAACCTTAAAGGGCCGTTTGCAAGCATAGATGACATTAAAAGCGCATCGCTGAAAGAACTAAAGGCTATTCCAAAGATCAAGTTTTAGAAGTGTTTCGAGTATTGAAAGAAGAGCTGGCACATGTGCATAATATCCAATGGGGACTATTTTGAAGGCGACAACATTAATGTAGACGAATAAATAAATATTTGTTTCAAAAAACGAAAATTCCCGATGTTTTCTGAACACACCTCGTATATAAGTACAGTTACAGAAAATAGTAATGTCCATTTGAATGCTCCATTGTAATTGTTCGGGTTTTGGTAATAAAATTAATATATTTATTTTTAAACTCGATAATTCTACCTACCTGCTATTTATCATTCTCTATACGCACATTTCATTTGACTTTTAAGCTTTTATGCAATAATCTAAACCATTTAAATATTTAAGGAATAAAATTGATTTTGAAATAATTTAAATATAATATATATTCTATAATTTATTAAATAAACTACATGTTATTTAATAAGTTTTTATTGATAAAATGATATATTTAAATGAAATTTATAGACATTTAATACTAAAATAATTATAAACTTTTGCATAATTTTGCAAATAAAATTGTTAATAACTCTCTTTAATGTATTTATCTTTTTATGTGATTTTTTGTTACCTGGGGAATTTGAATTAAAATATTTCTCCTTACTATGTAAATTAAAGCCATTCAAATTTTAAACTAAAATGCATTTTGCGCTTATAAAAAAATGCAATTTTAATACATTTATCAACATTTTAGTTTTCATTATTTGTTTTATGAAATAACTGCCCAATTTCAACTTACCTCAATATATAAAAATCCAATAAAATATGAAAGCGGCATAAATTTATAATTTATATTTATTATAATAATTCCCAAAAGGTCCAAGTGCCAAAAATAAAATTGTGAGTGAAAATAGTAGATACAAAAATAATATGGAGGTGGAGTTGGAATATTTTTAAAGTCGTTTTGCATGGCACATAGACTATTTTTAAATAATAATATAATATATGACCAAATTGGGTCCAAACCCTTTGGGAATACCATGCTTTAATTATAATTTTTTCCTACTTTTTCAGCAAAACTATATTTATGGTAAAATTTAGTAAGACCCTTTTTTCAAGAAAATATTTTGCTAAAACAATGCTCAAAGAAAGCGGCATTTTAATTTAAAAAGAAATGGTAAATAATTATTAATGTTATTATTTACCATTTCTTTTTAAATAAAAGTGGCGCTTTCTTTGCGCATTGTTTTAGCAGAATATTTTCTTAAAGAAAGGGTTGTACTAAATTTTATCATAAATTTAGTTTCGCTGAAAAAGTAGGAAAATCTTGAAAATTTCTATAAATTCAACTTTTACCTTGAATACCTTTAAAAGAGTTAATTTATCATAAAATGATAAATGTAAAATCTTCAATTCCCTAAAAAAATTTGTTTCAGTTTTATCGGTCCACTAATCCGTTGACAAGTTATACAATTTCAAAAAAATTTCATGTTATTTTAATGGGAAATAGAAATTCCCGACGAGGGACCTGTACATTTAATACTAATAGCTTAAATTTTAACAAGATAATTTTTTGAGATTTTTTTATTTTAATTATATCCAACGGTTTTTGATAAATCCTAGTACCTATATTAAATTTTAAAATATACCAAATATAAAAATTTTAAATATAT